TGCCCTTATGGACACTGGTTCGTCGGTTACAGCGATGTCAATGGCCACTGCGAGACAACTCGGTCTTACACCCGGCGCGCAAACGAAAACATTTAGACATCTCGACGGACAAACCCAATCACGCGGACGAGTCGACGTTCAAATGACTGAATACACGAACACTTTAATTCCCGATTCACGTGTTCGATAGACTGTCTTGCGATGTGCTCATCGGCATTGACGCCATCCGAGCAATCGACGCAATTGTATGGATTATTCACAAAGAAGTCGATGACATCGAAGTTCAGAAACAGAACGTCAGTCGCAACAAAAACGAAGACTTCCGAACACATCAACACGAGATCACGACATACGGACTCCGAAAGTCCTTCGATTAGGACGGACTAACCGCTGTTCACTGCAACGGCGTACGCAAAACATCGCTTGTCGCCAGCGTATTGCACCGCTTCCACGACAAACAAATTCATTCCGACGCCAAGACTACGATACGAAAGATCGCCCGCGCGTACTGGTGACCGACTCGTGATATCGACGTCACCCGACACGTCAGGTCATGCCATATGTGTGCCATCTTGAACACACCAAACTCTTTAGTGTGGAGGTCTGTTTTTGTGGTTGTTATTGGCGTGGGGGAGGTCAGTAGAGGGGTTTGGTTTGGAGGTGTGGTAATAAGTCTTAGCTGATTTGCTTGAAGGCTAGACTCATTTATGATTTGACTTATATTTGAGTTAATCACATTTTATATATAAATTATGTATAAAATAGAATTATTTCGTGATATATTAAGTTTTTGATATTTTGAGTGATGAAANAGAATTATTTCGTAATATATTAAGTTTTTGATATTTTGAGTGATGAAATCATAATCTGTATTAAATTCTCTATTGAATTGATATATCACATGTCCATATTTATTATGAAAAATATTCCCGATAAAAGTGGTCACTGCGGCCGAACCCGAGGTCACAGGACAATATAAATTGCATATTCGGACTCAGCATTGATTGGGCTTTCATTTCCAATCAACAAATCAAAAATGCCAGCTTAGGAAACTCATAATGCTTTTATAACAGTATCCTTTATTTAAATGTGTCAAAAAATTCTAGTACAATAAGCTTTGGTCTTTAATTAGTGAATTTAATTTAAAAATAATTTTATTCAATTATATCCAATTATAGCCAAAGGTAAGAATTTTATTCAATTAAAAGTAAATGTCAACATTCAACTTTATTTATATATTTAACAGTAAGAAATTATATATTTATAATTAAAAATCTATGAAAAATTTGCGATAATGACTTATAAACATTTCCCGGAAATCTCCCTGCTGTTTATATGTAAACTTTTGAAATCTCCCGTTTATTAACTTTTTTGATTTGGCAGCCCTATATACTATTGACCTTTATACATCCAACCGACTTTGACTTTAATATTTTATTATAATAATATTATGTTGAAAATCAGATTAATTGACATTCAAATACACTAAAAATAATTGAAACTTTAGAGTAAACTTAAAACAGCGTTTCCCGTGGGACTACCGGTTTTTCTTGTAGTTATCTACAAACAGATCTCCCGGTCCTAAGACTACGATCATTAAGAGGCCGTCGATTACGAACAGCATAAGGAAAAAGCGTTTTATCAGGACATCATACAGTGGTTTGTTTGAGTCTATTGTCCAAAAATGATTGTAATAAGGATTAATGGCTATTTGGGTTGAAAAAAGAGGTCCAAAAAGCAATCATTAGTCAGACACACAAATGGTTCAAATGAACGGTTCGTATGGAGACTAACCCGTGAGCCACACGACCAGCAAAAGGGCCGACAGTTTGGTCTTATAGCCGATAGTGACGGCCGCCATGAGTGCCAACCCTATCATCTTTCGTATGATAAGAAACACGTTTTGCATGTTTAGGCCAAGGCTTGTGAAGAATATGAGAAGCGTTAATATCCTTCCGGTGAAAAGTAGGTAAGCTTTGGGTCGGTTCTGTCCATCGCTGGGCACACCGGCCAACAGAGTGGGCGCCTCCGTCTGGCACTCGGCCAACAGCAGCAACAGAGCGCCGCATAGACTCAGAACCCACTGCCATAACAGGGGGTTCCATACGGCCCCGAACGCCAATGTCTGCCACCAATTGCACCACAAGTTAATACTGTCATCACTGGGAATAGGTTTACAACTCTTTTGAAATTACGATTCCCTTCCCGTAGTTTCCCTATAATTTCTCTGTAGTAATGCTTTACACAATAGTTACCACTAATTTGCTATTTTATGGCTATTCCTAATGAAACACTATATGGAAACTTGGTTAGGAACCGACCGAACTTGGCTTAGATTTTCACCACTAACTGTTAAGTCTTACACGAGATAACCCTGCTTAGGTTTACAGTACTAACAATGTAAGTCTTACACAGCTCAGGACGGTAACTATCAGTTACCATGAAATGGATCGAAGGCTTAGAGAGACTATACTTTTCACTTATCAAGATATACTAACATAAAGTTAATCAATTTTAAATGTATATAAATCATAAAATTATTATAATGTAATGTCAACTAAATTGTAGACAATTATTACAGAAATATTAGATATTATCGGATGCGGAAAAAAGTTACGGCAGTAAGATTTGACGACTAAATTATGGTTTGTCGCCAAACTACAAAAGCTATCAAATTTAAATTTAAA